GCGCCGCCCCGTATAACAAAAACCCCAAAAAAAAAAAAAAAAAAAAAAAAGAAGTGTAATTTACCAAAAAGGTGAAGATTATGGCTTCTAATAATGTATAGTAAAATTTTGTATAAAATTAAAACATCTCTACCCAAAACTTAAATTGCCCTTATGAGATACATATATTTATATAGTTTTAAGCAAATTATTTAATTTATTTGCTGTTATTATTTTAAAATTTTGCTATAGGGCATATGCACTCACTAGCGAGAGACAGAGAGAAAGAGGGAGAGGAGAAAGGTGAGAAAGCAAGCTGCTAGGCCCAGGGCTTGAACCGTGGTCAGCCACATGGGAGTCCAGCACCTTAACCAGCATGCCACCTGCTGGCCCCAAGCTATACACATTTAAACATCTCAAAGGGGAGACTGAAACTTTGTGAAGAACCGTGGGCAGGCCTTTCAGAAGCTGACACGTTAAAGACTGCGGGGAGCAGGGAGGAGATCTTCACAGGGTGGGACCGTGGGTCGCACAGTGCCCGCATACTGTACCGTAGGTAAAACCCGCCGTGGGGGGCAGACAACTCCCCATTAGCCCAACCGGGTATCGCAGACGAGTCATGAGACCTGAGGAGAGAGGAAATTCGGCATTTTAAATCTTGTTATTGATAGAAAAGAACTAAATATACGATAAGACATCCTATAAGCCGTTCTTCTTGTTTGCTTTTTTAAGGTTTTTGTCATCGGGCACATGCTCTCACCGGAGAGAGAGACAGAGAGGGAAAGTGAGAAATCTCTCCCTTGGGAGGGTGGCCGCAGCACAAAGCATTCTCCCCTTGGGATTTTGGGCACGCAAGCACGCACACTCAGTGTCACCAGGTCAGGGACTCGAATGGTGGTCAGCCATGTGGGAGTCCAGTGCCTTAATCACCATGCCCCCTGCTGGCCCCAGTTCCATTCTTTAAGCAATTAGGCAACAAAATTGTTCTACAGTCTGGGCTTATTTTCCTCATCTGAGAAATAATTTCCATAATGTAATCGATGCTCATTACACACCATTCAAAGAAGCTACGAAAATATAAAGACGACACAAAAGATCTCTCCCAGAACCCGAGTACCCAGGTATGCAGGATTGGCGCCGGGCGGACCTCTGCAAGTCTGCACGCCGTCACCACCCTCGCACACATGCACATCCAGGACTTGTCACAGAAACGGAGGTTCTGTCGAGGCTTTTTACACCGCACGTGTCATTGGCACACACCGGTGACCACAAATTCACCTTAACGTTATTTCTAACATGTCACCGTTTCAAAATATGCTATACAGGGATCTACAGATGGGGTAATGGTTATGTCGGGGGACTCCCACATGGCAGTTCAAGTCCCAGACCTGGCAGCTTAAAACTCATGCTGGGCACATGTGTGTGCATGCCCCACATCCCAAGAGAATGGAGGAGAGGAGAATGGAGGAGAAGGGATTGCGGCATGGTCATCCACCTAGGGGGTGATTTCTTGCTTTCTCTCTCTCTGTCTCTCTAGCAACTGCACATGCCCTATAGCAAAAATCTCTTTTAAAAAAAAAAAGATAATTTGTGAGGGTCATATAAATGTATGTTCAAGAACAAATAGCTTATGTTATTTTAATTTATTATTATTTTTAAAGAGTTTTTTCTCTATATGGCACCTATGCTCGCCCAAGAGACAGACAGAGAGAAGGTGAGAAATCACCCCCCGGGGGGATGTCCACACTGCAACCCCTTCTCCTCCATTCTCCTCTCAGGATTTTGGGCACACACACGCATGCCTGGCATCAGTTTTAAGCTGCCAGGTCTGGGACTCAAACCATGTTCAACCACGTGGGAGTCCAGTGACATAACCATTATGCCATCTGCTGGTCCCGCAAATTATCATCTTCTAAAACATTTCCAAGCTGTATGTCTGTATCTTCATTTTTAACAAAAAGTTTTTAAAATAAGAAAAACATAACGATTCATTTCTAAAACAGAAAAGTTTCTAGAATAAGGATGTGAATGGACATTTTGTGCAGATGGACTGTGTGTTTGTATTTTAAGCTAAGTGCTGACAAGAGTCAATTTTTAAAAAAAATCATAGTAAATAAAAGTTTATAAAGTAAGAGCTATAGTCAGCTAAGGTTAATTTGCTATTAAGGAAAGAAAGGTATTTTTATAAACGTAATGCAGCCAAGGGTCAGTGTCCCTCCCACAGCAGTGCACGGGGTGCCGGGCCTCATGTCCACACCCTGCCCCACCCCGCCCAGGGCAATTGCCCACAAGCTGCATTCCTGGTAAGTGCCCTGCACAGGGGGAACATTTTTCATCTTTTTTTTTCTTTAAATTTAATTTTGCTGTTAGGCATGTGTGCTTGTCAGACAGGGAGACAGAGAGAAAGAGAGCAAGAGAGATACAGGATGGCCACATGGCAATCCCTTCTCCTCTGTTCTCTTTTCTTTTTGGAGAAGTTTTTCACTGTAGGGCGCGTGCGCTCGCCAGACAGACAGAGAGAGACGTAGAGACAGAAAGCGAGAAATCACCCCCCAGGGGGGATGGTCACGCCGCAATCCCTTCTCCTCCATTCTCCTCTCGGGATCTTGGGCACGCATGCACACGTGCCCGGCATGAGTTTTAAGCCACCGGGTCCGGGGCACGAACCGCGGTCGACCACGTGGGAGTCCAGTGACATAGCCATTACGCTAACTGCTGGTTCCCTCCTCTGTTCTCTTTAAGGGTCTGGGGCATGCACACGTGTGCTCAGTGTGCTTTTCAAGCCACTAAGTTGACTGTGTGTGACCCAGCCACCTTAACCCCCATGCTCCACCTGCCCCACGTTTTATCTTTGGTACCACATTTATACCATAATTGTACCCGTTCTGGGACCTGGCAGCTTAGGAATCATGCTGTTTACATACACAGCACCGTGATGGACCACTCCCCGCCAGGACTCAGGAACCATGCTGTAGAGACTGCAGCCCCACAGGCGACGCTGCCCAGCCCGGGTGTGGCATGGGCAGACCGCCGAGGTGCGCAAAATGCTCCCCGTGAGGCCAGCACACTGACAGACCCGATGACACTTTTCTCAGAACGCACCCCACGGAGAGCAACATGACTCTCCAGCTGACTAGAGTGGGTAGCCAGGGACAGCCTTCCTGGCAAGCGGCCGTGTCACAGTGGGGGAGCCTTCCAGGCAGCTGGGACGCCATGCACGGACAAAGGTGGTCTGCACCAGAGCCCACCCAGCCGGCAGGAGAGAAGGGCATCTCCCAGTGCCTGTGTGAGCGGGACGGTCTTCTAGATAGGTCCAGAGACCAGCCTGCCGAGGACCACGGCCGGGAGCGGGTTAGCCAGGAAACGGACGGTAATGGCAGGGAGAGCTCTCCCCACGTGGAAGGAGCGAACCCCGCGCTGGAGACAGAGGGGGGCCCTCCACCTGCCCCGCTCAAGGAGGTCGGGAGGAAACAGCACCTGAGAAGCTCCCCGGGGGAATGAGCGATGTCCTAGGGGTCACGGCATGGCGACATGTGAGGACATGAAGCATGATGGCGGGCACTGGAGCACAAGCACACGTGGGGGTGGCGGGAAATCGCACCCGAGGGGCAGATGGTTGGGGTGATGGTGGCCCCATCAGCCATGCCGGGAGCATTGCCCTTTCTTCAGGTGACAGGGAGCCACGGAAAGGCCCTAGGACAGGGAGGGCGTCTTGGATTCTCATCCTCGATGCCGCTGGGGGTGTCTGCAGGGAGTCAGCGCGGAGACAACGAGGGCAGCAGAGAGGCCACTGCCCCGCCGGGTGGGCGCGATTAAGACGCCATCCGCAGGCCGGCGGAGGCGGGTCTATCCCTGTCCCTTCGCTTAGGAAATCAGTGACACTCGGTAATTAACCAGAAGCTGCTGTGGGGGAATACATGCTTCTGTTTAAGCCCGCGCTTGGCGGGACGAGGGCACCGCTGCCTGGGGAAGCCCTCGGAAAGAGGAGCAGTGCAGGGGGAGGTGGTGGCGGGAGGAGGCTCTCTGCTCCGTGGCCCAGGTGCAGGGCGGTCAGTTACAGGTGTCCGGGTCTGCCAGACAGAGTCCTCACACATGGGGAGACGCCCAGGGTGAGGACAGGACTGACCAGGACAGAGCTCTGTGAACACCAATTCATTTTGTTGGTTTTGATTTAGTTTTTGGCATAGGGCGCGTGCACTCGCTAGAGAGAGAGACAGAGAGGAACACATTCCTTCTCCTCCTCTCTCCTGCTGCGACTTGGGCACGCACACCTGGCATGATTTCCAAGCCGCCAGGTCCCAGACACAAATCACAGTCAGCCACGTAGGAGTCCAGGACCGTGGCTGCCACACCACCTGCTGGCCTGGGGACACCAGAGTTTAGGGAAGAGTAGATACAGGCCAGATTGAGAAGGCCCCAGGGAATGGGGTCAGAGCAGACCCAGAAAGGGTGGTATCAGAACACCCAGGCTGCAGGAAAGTTCCAGGAATGACCCTGCCCGCCCACTGCAGCGGGGCCCTGAACACAGGCCGCTGGGAGCCCCGCTGGGGGTGGCAGTACTGCAGTCACTGGCAAAACCTGCCTTGGCGAAGGCAGGAGCCAGGTTGTAGGCATTTATAAAACACACAGCAGGGAGGACGTGAACACGGTTTTCCCAAGGTGTGACTCAGAAGTCCAGCGTCTGAAAGAGGAAAGGCCAGAGCGGGGTCGTGCTGCTCTGTTTTAGGAGAAGGAAGTCGTAGGCCTGTCATACCGAAGGGCTGAGGGAGGGGGTGGGAGAAATGGTGCAGACTGCAGGGAAGGAGCGCTGGGAAGCATCCCAGCAGAGGAGGGGGCACCGAGCATAGCTTGGCCAGGCTGCTCCTGAAGCCGGGAGAGCGGGGCCCTGGCTTCCATGTTCCTAAGGCAGCGAACATCTGGGTGGCCTGAACCTGGGCAGCGGCTGATATTGGAAAGATGGCGGTTGGCATGAGATCAGAAAGGGATGCCTGCCGGTGGCTCTGAGGACCTCGTCGAGGGCAAAGTCCTCACCCAGCTGGGTCTCCATAACATAAGATCGGATGGAGAACATAAAGGAATCTCAAGTTCCCTCCCCCCCCACCCCCCGCATTCCTGTAACTTCGAAGTCTGGCCTTGCCCACTATTTTTATCTGGGGAATCACTACCAATGGCTTTAGAGATAGTCCCTGTCTCTGACAGAGTTTGACTCTTGGCACTGTCCTAACTTTTTTGTTGTTGTTGTTGAGAGGTTTCTGCTATAGGGTGCATGCACTCGCCAGAGAGACAGAGAGCGAGAAATCCCCTCCCCCCACCCCAGGGGAATGGCCACGCCGCAATCCCTTCTCCTCCATTGTCCTCTCAGGATCTTGGGCACGCATGCACATGCACCCGGCGTGAGTTTAAGCCACCGGATCCAGGACTTGAACCATGGTCAACTACATGGGAGTCCAGCGACATAGCCATTACACTAACTACTGGTTCTG